AAAAAAAAAGAAGGAAAGACAAACTTGTATCTTATTTTCAACTGCAAAAAGGGAAAGATTAATCTATTTTATAGTAAAATTTCAGAATGATCTGTGGTCAAATAAAATATGTAGGCTTGAATTTTAAAAAACCCCACAGCTTTTCGAAAATTATTATTATGTCATTATGTTAGACCTATGTTTGTTCCTGAATAGCTTGTGATAGCTTCTATACATTCTTTACAACTTCATTTCACCCTATAGTGTTGGTCAATGTTGTTTTCTGAGGAACACAATAAGATATACACCTTATGTTTTATGCCTTTTCCTGGCCAAGGTCTCTCTCACATGACAGTCACCATACTATACACCAGGCCAGAGCACCATTTAATATATAATCACTTATGCAGTTGCGAGCGCCGTAAAACTCTTACTAAAACTAAACTAAAAGTAATATATAATCAGATAAACAGAATAATCATTTTTGTCATGACGTGTCATGCGCTTGTCAATTTTTGGGCACGTGGATTTATTGGTATCATCTAAAAGCTTGTTCATTTGGCTTGCTTTCCATTTTAAAAAAAATTGGCAATTGAAGGAGGTGGAGGTTGCTTGGTTTCAGAGGTAAAATTAGTAGGGAAATTGTCACCAAAGTTTGTAACTTCAGTAGCTTGAGAGCTTTTCATCAATGTTTTTTTTCCCCAGTAAAGTTCATCTTGCAATGTGTTGTTATATGGACACCAAAGGTGTTGAGCAAAAAAAAATTCAACAAAAAATGCCAATCTGGTGGGAAAGTGCCTTTTTGTTTGATTACATTATTTTGACGAGCATCTGATTTCATCATGATGCCTCACATTTTGTATGTTCTAGACAAAAAAAGAAGAGTACTACACATTGTTCATGTGTTCTAAGTGAAAAGAAAATCAGTACTGCACTGTGGATTACAACAATTACAGTGAAGTCCGCTTAAACCAAAATCTGCAGGGCCACCATAATTTCTTTGGTAGGCTATAGCCGGATTTTCAGTTGAAAGGGATTTCTCTAATAGAAGTTTAAAAAATTAGGGATTTTCTTTTCTTTCAGTTTTCTGCTGAATTCAGATTTACCATGTGCGGTTTAAATGGACTCCACTGTATGTCAGACTAAGGTCTATAGCTAAATCTCCTACTTGCTCCCCACAGGCGGATCCCCCCCACCAGTACGGGGAGCCACAGATGGGTGGGGAGCCGGTGTACGCACAGGTCAACAAGGGCAGTCGGCGTCGGCCAGACCAGTATGACCCCAGTGGATCTCCCAGCATGCATCGTCAGAACGTGGATGGTGCAGGGGGTGGGGCTGACTCGTGGGTTTGATGAGGGTGTTCCAGAGCAAAGTGTTCAAGTGTGTGTGAGTGATTATGTGTGTGTGTGAGTGAGGGTGTGTGTGCGTGTGTGTTACCTGTATGTTATGTGTGTGTGTGTGGTTTGTGGTTCTCTCATACATTATGTGACAGTTGCTGGCAGTGGCTGTAAGAGCTGGTATATATCTCACAAAATAGCTACCGGAGGAAAAGTGTCTACAACTCTCAGGCCACGTGAGGCTGTGTCTAACTGGGGGGGGGGTGTTATTCTGGGCAAAGTGAATTAGCGAGATGTGAATGTTCGTTACCTATTTTTGCAGAATGTCCATGACAGGATATTTGTCAACTCTTTTTGGGCTTTAGTGGGGTCAGAGACATACCGTATTGATTTTTTATTTTTGCGACGGCTACTGTGTCCCCGTTTAGAATGTTTTATAATTCACATTGGGATTTTTTCCCCTGTAGTTAGAGGGCAAGATGAGTTGTTGCTCTTGTCAATAGCCGGACTTTCCTGCTCCCATCATGTTTGTATGTCTTGAATCTGTGAGTTTGTGAGTACTAATTGTATGAGCATGTTTTTACGCACGCTCTGAATGTATGTGGTGTGCAGTAGAAGGATGCAACTGGTTCCTTGAAAAATCTACACAGGTGTTCGGCAGATATTTCAGGAAGGTTTAATTCATAACTAAATAAGTTTGTATTAAATTCTGTTTTATCTCGAGGAAAGATTTTTATTGATGACCCACAGGACGACATTGGCCATGGTTTGAGAAAAATAAGTTGACCTGTATTTTCCAGTGCTCGGTTTGAGCGTAACTCCATCAGTTATGTGTTTCGTTATAGGTTTGGTTGGAAATTGGGGGGTCAGTCATGTCTCACTTAGTGTATGTGTGTGTGCTGGCACGTGTGTATATTCATTCTTGTCTTGATTGAGGTTGTGTTTCTTGAGGGTTGTGGTTTGGTCTGCTCCTTCTTCGTCAGTATTGCTTGCCATAAAACTAGAACCCCACAACTGTCAGACAGCACCGTGGTCACAAAGAAATGAGATTGAGCATTTTTCACTTTAAAGTCCTGGGTAAGGGGCAGGGCTGGGAGAGTGGGGGTTGAGTCATTGCGAGAGTGTGTACTTTATAGTGTAGGAGATATGACCTTCATATGTCTGAACAGAATGATAGCATCATAATATTGACCTGATGTTTAATATCTATCGCTTGCAGTGGATGAGTATGGAGAACAGAACCGAGTTTGGGGAGGGTTTTTTTTTCTCATTTCGATGTAAATGTGTGGAAAACTTTGAACTAATGCTTTTGTTCTATCATAACTAACATGGTAATTCTTCCCCTCCTTCTGTACTGGGAACACATGCACATATTATCAGCAAGCACTAATATTTATGAATGAAATATACCAGAGTTTGGAAATGGACTAAAACAGACAGCAAAAACAGCAGCAAAACAATCTAGCAAATCTGATCACAAACATGTGGTAACAGCGTTCTCTGGAGTTTGACTTTAATGTAGGTCCTGAAGCCAGTAATATTTCCCCCCCCCAACTACTCTTGAGGTTTTTTTTTTTTTAGCTGTCAGCTTTTTATAGCTTAAAACTATACTAGCTGGTCCTTGGTCTCTTAATCATGCGGGCTATTCATTTTTGGTAAAAGTCTTTTTCAGACTCCACCCGCCCCCTTCAAATAGTTAGAAGAATCATCTTTCATGCTGGAGGTTATGGCTACCCACATCTGGTCCCACATAATAATGTAGTAATGGCTCTGGGTTGTGCAGAAGGTCTCCAATTAGAGAGCTGATGTAGACTTTTTTTACCTATATTTTTTGCCTTGCCAAGTTTTGTCATGTTTCAAAATCTTCCTCTGACTTAACTGTCATCTTTGCACGTTAGAGTGCAGTCTGTCGTAGTCTATTGGATCCAATTTTCTTTTTTACATTCCCTGGTAAATCAATATGTTGAAAGTTGTGAAATTCCAGAACGTGTCAATATGCCATTGAGGGTGAAGATTTGCTCGGAGTAAAAAGCAAACTGATGCTCTCTTACTTTGAGTTTAAATTCAACAGTGGGACATCACAGAAGATTATGAACAACTTTTGAGTTTTAAAATTTTAGCAGACGGGAGGGGTTGTGTGAGTGAGTGTGTGTAATGTATGCCCAGTGGCAGAGGAGACGAGACCAAGATGTTGCGTAATATGTTGCGTCTGTGTGTGCCGCATGCTTTTGATGTCTCTGAAATCTTAAGCTATTTGCCCTGAACAGTAGAATAAAGTCACAATTAATTAGTCTGTGTGTCACAAAGTTTTGCCATTTTCTCGCTGACTTTTTGATATCAATAGGCTGTCCAGATATACAGTTATATCACACTATGCTTTTTTTATACATGTTTTCTCTGTCAGACTTGACTGCTTCTGGTTTGGCTTTTGCCGTGTAGCAATGCTTTTCCAAAAAAAAAAGGATGAATTAGTAACTATTCTTTATGTATCTGTCACCATGATGTAAACGTTTTTCACTTCCATCATCAGAACTTTCTATTCTTTTACGCAAGTCTTTACCATACCATTATCCAAGTCCACTGTACATAGCCATGGGCACCCGGTTGTCTCCAGTTGACAATGGGGAATAACTGCTGACCCTCTTCTCAAGATGTGATGTACATACAATTTATTTTTGGCTAACATTTTGTACTTGACAGCTTTTGCTGTGGGGAAAAAGAAAGAGAGAGTGAGAGAGTAACTGTTTGTGATTGAAGAAAGGGAGATAAACTGTGGATAGTGATTTTTTACATTTTAATTGGTGGTTGTGCGTTGTGAGACTCAGAGACTATGCTGGAAAGGGCTTTTGTGTTATCGGTCGGAAAAGCTCCTTTCCCTTTTTCTTCTTCCTCCTCCTCCTGGCAGACCCTTCTACAAGGGCTGAGGTGCAGGATAAGCCATTCTATACCTTCTTTCAAGCAATCACTTCCAGGGTTAGTGATGTTGAGGTACTCGTGTCCAGTTCAATGTTCCCAACAGAGGAGATCATGGTAGCACTACTGTACCGGTTCTGTTGTGAAGTGCAACGCTCCTCATGAAGGTCTCCACATTTCAGTAGAGTTGTGAGTTGTCCAGTGCTATTTACACTGTAGTTCTGTAATAATAATGTTAATAATTATAATAGTAATAAAAATAGCTTGTCCATTAATGTCTGACAATGGCTTGTACGTCTGTAGAGGAGAACATTTCTTAAGAGAAACTGAAGAAATTTTGGAATAAGATGGTTTGTGGCTTTTTACATGGCCAATGAGACCAATTTTGGAAGAAAAGTTCAGTTTTGAAGGGTCTCCTTAAATTATTTGCACAATTCTATGCCCGTCAGGTTTTTGCCAAGGAAGGCATGGGGAAATCTTGTTGGTAAAGTAAAGTATTGTGCGCACTGCCGCCCCCCCAAGTCTTTGTGGGTTCTTGTGAGTCACAGCTTGCTGATTCCTGTTCCTGTCTGTAAGACATAACTGCAACTATTTCAAGTGGTTCAAAATGTGGAGGGTTTTGTCCAGGGTGTTAACAGCTTTCCGATATATATCGCATGTGAGTTTGTTTCAGGGCAGACTATCTTCACAACTAGTAGACCAACTTGTCACTGTCCTTTAAGATGAGATGAAAATCAACTTGCTTATCAGAACGGAAATTTTGACAAGATATTGACAGATATCAAGACTTGATTGTGGAGAAATATGTGAAAGTGGGGCATAATTGTTTGTTTGTTCTTTATGGTGCGTGGCCCACAAGTGGTCCTTTGTGGTGAAAAGACAAAATGGATATCAGGTTGTGCAAAAACGTGTTCTGTCTTCGCTTTCTACATTGACCAATAATGTAAAGAGCGTTTTATTGCATGTTTTTTGGGTTTTTTTTTTAGGGAACTGAACCTTAAAAGATGTCTATGGGCTTTGCTTGTCTGTATGTAATTTTTCTAAGTGAAAAGAGAGGTTATCACATTGATAAAGTGAAGTGTGAGATTTTACATATATATAAAAATGAAGTGATATCGACAAATGTCATGATTTATATATTATTAGCACTAATACTGTGGATGTATGTTTTATATATACATATATATATATATAATCTTTTCCTTGCTCTGTAGGGGTTCCATGTTTCCCACCATATAGAACAACAGTGTCAGCTGTGCTGTGGACATTGTCTTCTCTAGTACTTTAACAACTTTTTGCAGTAACTTTGCTTCGTGTAATTGGAACATTTTGACATTGACGGACAAAATGTGTTCAATTGTCCAAACATAATCAATGAATGAATTAACTTGCTCATAATGTACCAAATTGTTTTGTTTTGCCTCACCACCCCCCCCACACCCTTTTTTTTTCTTTGTGGAAGGACATTTTTCACCCATACCCCCTTCCCCCCAAATTATATCTCGCAAGCGAGACAGGTGGAAAACCACACCTTTATGCATCAGACTGAACCGTTTGGTTCACTCTCTTTCCAATTTTTGTTTTCTCCTTTGTCATTCATTTAATGCAATGAAACCATTTTTGTCTGTCAGATATTTAATTCTAGCAAATTTTCTTGTACATATCATCCAATAAAAAGTTAATAAAAATAATGATAAAATAGTTATAATAAGTGTGTTTTTATTCACTTTGAGAAGGTGTTATGATGCGATTGGGGTGTCCAAAAATATTCTGTGTTTTGAGTAACAAATTTGAACGAGTTTTATCAGAAAGATTTGGAAATAATGGAATGTAGAAACAAATCTGATGAGCTGTGTGGAAACTGTATGGTGGTAATCACCTGGTGTGTTGGAAGGTGCCACTGGTAGGTGACAGTTGGTCCTACTTCTTTTTCTTTCCTTTTGTTGTTTCTGCTGGTCTCCTGTCTTGCTTTTCCCCTGCATTTTAATGACCGTTATTGTGTCATCGTGCTTCTCTTTACTCTCTCTCTCTCTCTCTCTCTCTCTCTCTCTCTCTCTCTCTCTCTCTCTCTCTCTG